AAAAAAAAAAAAAAAAAGTAGCTCGTACTTAGCAGCAAAGGCATGGATGGCAGTCGGTAGCTGCAGCTTTCCTTTGATGCCCTATGTATGGGGCTTAGGAAGGTAGGGGAGACTGCCAGGTCCTGGGAGGAGGGAAAACTGGAAGAACCTTGCATCTGACAGCACCTGCAGAGGCAGAGGAGTGAGAGGTGGGCCCTGAGACCCAGAGTTAGAAGTCATTGGTGGCTTTGATATGAGGGACAGGTTCAATTCTCAGGTGGCAGTTATTGGGTGCCTTGGAGACCAGGGTAGAGGAGGAAGGGACTGGCTCAGCTGTGCCGCCCCAGGGAAAGAGGACGCGCATGATTCTGTTCTACTGCACCTCTGGGATGAGCTGGAATAGCGCGTTAGACAGCAGCGTTCCAATGGACAGGGCGATGAAGTAAGTGAGCACACGGCTGAAAAACGCTTTCTCCGTGCAGGGCAGGACGAGGACTCCCAGGAGAGAGGCCAGGTTAATCAGTGAGACACAGAGAAAACCAAAGCCCCACACTGTGGAGGAACAAGAACAGACGAGGGCCTCTATTACTGTGGGTGGGGAGACACTCCTGCTGCCTGGGGCTGGCCCGTTCTCAATTCAGGTATGCTGGGGCAGAACGAGCTCCACCAACCCATTAGTAACATTCGCTGAGTCCATCTCTCGCCAGAGGCTGCGGAGAAGCCTAGGGAAGCTCTATGAAAACTGCTATCCAAAGGAAACTCACCTTTTCTACAGACAGTCGCAAACGGCATGGAAGCTTAAAAACCATAAAAGCAGGCCGGGTGCAGTGGTACACGCCTGTAATCCCAGCACTTTGGAAGGCTGAGGCGGGTGATCACCTGAGGTCAGGCGTTTGAGACCAGCCTGACTAACATGGTGAAATCCCGTCTCTACTAAATACAAAACTTCAGCAGGGCATGGTGGCGCATGCCTGTAATCCCAGCTACTCGGGAGGCTGAGGCAGGAGGAGCACTTGAACCCAGGAGGCGGAGGTTAGAGTGGTTACAGTGAGCCAAGATCATGTCACTGCACTCCAGCCTGGGCAACAAGAGTAAAGCTCTGTCTCGAAGAAACAGAACAAAACAAGAGAAACCGTCCAAGTAAGTGACAGCAGAAAACAGCGACTTGCAGTAGCATAAACAGCATACTCCGGGTGCCAAGAGCAGGCAGCACATGCCGGCCCTGTGGGGCTTTGGCAATCGGGGCGTACGCTCACAGCTCACGGCAAGCCCACTGTGGCCGGACCAGGGAGACTGGGATGGGGAGGGCAGGGAGGATTCAGTGGGCCAAGCGTAGCCTCCTGGAGGTCTTCAAGGTAAAACTATAAAACCAAAGTGAGCCAGGTGCGGTGGCTCATGCCTGTGATCCCAGCAATTTGGGAGACCAAGACAGAAGGATCACTTGAGCCAAGGAGTTTGAGACCAGCCTAGACAATGTCCTGTTTCTACAAAAAATTTAAAAATTAGCTGGGCATGGTAGTGCACACATGTAGTCCCAGCTACTCAGGAGGCGGAGGGAGGAGGATCGCTTGAGCCCAGAAAGTCAAGGCTGCAGTGAGCTATGATCACACCACTGGACTCCAGCCTCAGAGACAGAGTGAGATCCTATCTTAAAAAAAAAAAAAAAAAAAAAAAAAAAAAAAAAAAAAAAAAAAAAAAAAAAAAAAAAAAAAAAAAAAAAAAAAAAAAAAATTAGAAAAACCAAAGTACTGGGCCCCTGTGGTTCAACATAAAATAAAAAATGGACCAAAAAGGCATCCACAGGATGCTTGAAAAGTCCAACGCTCTGAACACGCACCCGCTACAGCCCAGGGGTCTGACAGTTTTAGGCCAGCCTTGCGAAGACAAACATTAACGGTACAATCATCGATCCCCCTCCTGACATTGACAAGCTCCTCCTGGATATCACTGGTTAGGCCTTCAGTGAGCAGCAGCAGCCGAGCCCGGGAGTCCTTGTGAGACAGGACAAGCTGGGAGATGGGCTCCTGCCTTCCCAGCCTGGCTCACCTTCGACAGCGCTCGGCCGCCCCTCCTCCGTCTGCTCATTCTCCTCATTTTCCTGGTTCTCTGAAATGCAGGCCCGGGAATCCAGCTGCTGGAGGATGGTGGGGCAGAACTCCTGGAGCTCGCTGCTCCCAATCCGCGACTGCTCGCTGAAATTGTGGGCAGCGAAGAGGTCTCCAGAACTAAAGCACTGAAACACAGGAAGGGCAGGAAGCCACTCAGACCCCAAAGATCAGGCCTTGACCTGCTAAGTAGCAACTATTCAGCCTTCCCAGAGGAAAAAGAAGACAGAGAGGTCCAAATTTCAGGGAATTTGTAGATTCATCTAGTCTGGGGATGAGGGCAAGGTGTCCCCTAAACTTAAAAAACTAGTAAGTAAAGCCAGGCGTGGTGTCTCATGCTGGTAATCCCAGCACTTTGGGAGGCCGAGGCAGGCGGATCACGAGGTCAGGAGTTCAAGACCAGCCTGACCAACATGGTGAAACAACAACTAAAAATACAAAAATTAGCCAGGCATGGTGACACACGCCTGTAATCCCAGCTACTCTGGAGGCTGAGGCAGGACAATCACTGAACCTAGCAGGCGGAGGTTGCAGTGAGCCAAGATTGTGCCACTGAACTCCAGCCTGGGTGACAGAGTGAGACTCCATCTCAAAAAAAAAAAGAAAAATAAAGTGAGTAGAGCCGGGCACAGTGGCTCATGACTGTAGTCCCAGCACTTTCGGAGGCTGAAGCCGGCAAATCATGGGGTCAGGAATTCAAGACCAGCCTGGTGAAACCCTGTCTCTACCAAAAATACAAAAATTAGCCGGGCACAGTGGCGCACCCCAGAAATCCCAGCTACTCAGGAGTCTGAGGCAGGAGAATTGCTTGAACCTGGGAGGCAGAGGTTGCAGTGAGCCAAGATCATGCCATTGCAGTCCAGCCTGGGTGACAGAGTGAGATTCTGTCTCAAACAACAACAACAACTAGTAAGTAATCCTTATGGCTCAGCTGGCTATGAAAGTTACACATTATAAGCACAACCATCTGTAAATAAGTGCCTGAGACATTTTAAGAATGACAACATTTCTGTCACTGTCACCAAAGCGGCCACACATGGTGGCTACCACTGTAATCCCAGCACTTTGGAAGGCCAAGGCAGGAGGATCACTTGAGGCCAGAAATTGGAGACCAGCCTGGGCAATATAATGAGAGCCCTTCCCTACAAAAAAATTTAACAATTAGCGAGGTGTGGTGGCACATGCCTGTAGTCTCAGCTACTGAGGAGGCTGCAGCAGGGGACTGTGAGAGCCCGGGAGTTGGAGGCTACAGTGAGTGAGCTATGATCATGTCACTGCCCTCTAGCCTGGGTGACAGAGCAAAACCTTGTCTCTTAAAAAAAAAAAAATTGTCACTAGGGCATGGTTTCTAGAAAACACCATTCTGGGGCTGGGTGCAATGGCTCACGTCTATAATCCCAGCACTTTGGGAGGCCAAGATAGGCAGATCACTTGAAGTCAAGAGTTCAAAATCAGCCTGACCAACATGGTGAAACCCTGTCTCTAATAAAAATACAAAAATTAGCTGGGCATGGTGGTGTACACCTGTAATCCCAGCTACTCGGGAAGCTGAGGCAGAAGAATTGCTTGAACGGAGGAGATGGAGGTTGCAGTGAGCTGAGATTGCGCCACTGCACTCCAGCCTGGGCAAGGGAGCAAGACTCCCTCTCAAAAAAGAAAAAACGAAAAGAAGAGACAAAGAAAACACCATTCTGTGTGTGTGCCTGAAGATACAAGCTTCGTACCAAATCTGGCTGCACGTCACAATAGCCCAGGGAGCTATTACGTTAAAATGCAGGTTCTGGCTACTTCTCTGAAGCTGAAATGTCTAGGGGTGGGGCTCCGCCGAAACGGTGCTGCTGCCCGATCAGCCCCACACATCCTTAACCATACAGGACTGCCCTCAGCCTGAGGACATGTGCGTTCACAGAGGCAAGGGGAGGAAAACCTGAAGATTCAAAGTGGGCCGTGGCCAGCCAGCAGCTGCCGCAGTTACCTTGGGAGGTGGCAGGTAAGTGCTTCTCATGAACCGTTCCTGTGAAATCTGCAGCTCCACTTCTAATTATACTGTCTACACCTACATGCCAGGCCTTTTCTGAGTTTGGTCTCACATGGGCGTATCTCTGAGAGTCAGCACTCTGACTGTGCTGCCAAAATAAGTGCCTGGGCTTCTAAAGGCCAAGGGCTGGCCTCCTGTGACCCCGAGATGCTGCTGCTGTTGTGGCAAGTCCTGAGACCCACGTCACTGCATCACCTCCGGGGTACACGGGGTGTGCTCCTCCCTGGCTCCGGTGTCTGCTGTGCTCAAGTCATTCTGCATCCATACCACATGGTCACCCCGTCCCCTGCCTTTTTTTTTTTTTGAGATGGAGCCTCGCTCTGTCACCCCAGGCTGGAGTGCAATGGCGCAACCTCAGCTCACTGTGACCTCCACCTCCTGGGTTCAAGTGATTCTCTCACCTCAGCCTCCGGAGTAGCTGGGATTACAGGCACCCACCACCATACCTGGCTAATTTTTATATTTTTATTACAGACGGTGTTTCACCCTGTTGGCCAGACTGGTCTCGAACTTCTGACCTCAAGTGATCCGCCTGCCTCAGCCTCCCAGAGTGCCGGGATTACAGGCGTGAGCCACCGTGCCCCGCCCGCCCTGTCCCTTTTATCTCCACACTGCACTCATCTCAAGGGGCAGCTCGAGGACACTGCACGCATGAGCCTACACGGATGCCTCCAGGACACTCCTCTCCCCCTCTCATTTCTGCATCCTACAATTACTGTCCAACCCACAAAATGCAGTGCTTCATTTCAGCACTGCTGACTTTGTCCTCTGTTGGTTAAGCTCCCCATCATGCCAGTCAACTCCCTAAATATGACTCATTTTTCTCTATTTCTCACAACACCAGCACAGGGAACAAAGTCGATATATAAAGATTTTGCTGGCTGACTTATATTTGGCTGCCACAAATAGCCCCAGAGTCTGATTAGCAGAGATGATATGGAAGAAAGAACACAGAATTGGCAGCCAAAAAGACCTGGCGTTCCAGCCTGGGTCTCTGCAGGGACTCAATGCAGGACCCTTGGTGTCCTCTCCTGTAAAATGCAGATAATCGCCGCTGCACCTGGAGGGACTGCGGGCTCACTGGGATAGTAACAGGCTCTGGAAACGGTAAACTCTATGAGAAATGCTGGCCTGGGAGCTGTGTTTTCTCAGCATTTACGAGTGACTCAAGTGCAGCTCTGAGGAAGAGTCTGTGGGGCTGAGAACCCCACTTCTAGGCTGCCTTTGTTTTGTTTTGTTTTGTTTTGTTTTGAGACTTGCTCTGTCACCCAGGCTGGAGTGCAGGGGCGAGATCAGGGCTCACTGCAACCTCTGCCTTGCTGGGTGCAAGCGATTCTCCTGCCTCAGCCTCCCGAGTAACTGGGATCACAGGCACCCACCACCACGCCTGGCTGATTTTTGTAATTTTAGTAGAGTTGGGATTTCACCATGTTGGACAGTTTGATCTCAAACTCCTGACCTCAGGTGATCCACCGGCCTTGGCCTCCCAAAGTGCTGGGATGACAGGCGTGAACCACTGGCCCCAGGCTGCCTTTTATTAAGGGCTTCAGAACACCTATGCGGGGCCGGGGGCGGGGAGGGCGGGGGGTGAGGGTGGGGTCAGAAGGCACTGCAGAAGACTCAGAATATGCTGATTCAGACAACGGGGAAACAAGAATTGGCCTGTCCACTCTGTCTTCAAGACTGACCTGCCTCATCCTACCTCTGCCAAACTGCCAGGCTACCCTGGGCCAACTAGACAGGAAACCCCGAGAGGCCAGAGACTCCTGAGCGGAGCTCCTGGCTTACAGGGGAGTCTTACCGTGGAGAGGTTCCTGTGTCCCTGCACGTGCTGGGTGACATTACCCCGGCCCACCCCCACATCCAGGTGGTTGAGCAGGGCCTTCAGCTGCTGCAGAGTGAGACTGTCACCCTCGCCATAGCGACGCATCAGATCCTGCAGGAAGGAGGCAGCGCTGAGAGCGGGCGTGCCTGGGGACGAAGCGTGAGCCTCGGGACTGGGTGTCCATAAGCCGAGCAGGGTCAGCAGGAGGCAGCTGTGGAAGGCCGGGTGCAGCAGCTTCATGGTGACTAAATGAGCCTGCGAGAGAAAAAGGCAGGTGAAGCTGAGGACTCTCCCCGTGTGCCAGCAACAGCGCGTCTGCCACACACTCAACACGGCGAGACACCTTCAGTCTCTGCCTCTGCTCCTTCTTGAATTAGCCTTTGAAAAAAACCCTCCTTTTCAAAGGACAGAATAAAAACTAATAAAAAGGATAAACTCAATAGGTTTAATTAAAAAAATAAAACAGCAATGTGATTATGTTTTTTTTTTTTTTTTTTTTTTTTAGACAGAGTTTCACTCATTGCACAGGCTGGAGTGCAGTGGCGCAATCTCAGCTCACTGCAACCTCCGCCTCCCGGGTTCAAGTGATTCTCCTGCCTCAGCCTCCTGAAGAGCTGGGATTACAGGCACACACCACCACGCCTGGCTAATTTTTTTATATTTTTAGTAGAGACGGGGTTTCATCATGTTGGGCATGTTGCTCTCAAACTCCTTACCTCAGGCGATCCACCCGCCTCGCCTCCCAAAGTGCTGGGTTTATAGGCATAAGCCACTGAGCCCCGCCGGTTATGATTTTTTAGAAGTCCTTTTAGAGGTACTAAAATAATCATGGATTTACCATCTGATCTGGGCTCTGCTTCAAACTAATAAAGGAGGGGGTATGAGCACGGGGGTGTGGATGAGAGGTGATCAGGCATGAGCTGATACTCACTGAAACTAAGCAACCGGTAGATGGGAATTCATCAGATTCTCTGTTTCTTTTCTTTTTCTTTTTTTTTTTTTTAAAGACAGTCTTGCTCTGTCTCCCAGGCTAAAGTGCAGTGTCGTAATCTCGGCTCACTGCAACCTCTGCCTCCCAGGTTCGAGCAATTCTCCTAGCCCAGTCTCCCGAGGAACTGGGATTACAGGCGTGTGCCACCACACCTGGCTAATTTTTGTATTTTTAGTAGAGATGGGGTTTTACTATGTTGGCCAGGCTGGTCTCCAGCTTCTGAGCTCCAGTGATCCACCCACCTCAGCCTCCCAAAGTGCTGGGATTATAGGTGTCGGCCACTGCACCTGGCCCTGTCTACTTTTATATATGTTTGAAATCCTCCAAAATAAAGCTATTAAAAAATAAACATGGGCTGGGTGCAGTGAGAGAGAGAGAGAAAAAAAGAAAGACAGGAAGGAGGGAAGGAAGGAAGGGAAAAAGAAAGAAAGAGAGAGAGAAAAGAGGAAAGAAAAAGAAAGAAAAAGAAAGAAAAGAAAGAAGAAGGAAAAAAGAGAAAGAAAGAAAGAAAAGAAAGAAAGGAAGGAAGGAAGAAAGGAAAGAAAGAAAGAAAAGAAAGAGAAGAAAGACAAGACAAATGAAAGCTTAAGGTAGTAAGACTGATGACGATTTTTCTCGTGTTAACCATTTCCCTTAGTATGATTATAATTTAATTAGTGATCTAAACAAATTATCAAGAGGGGAAAATGAGCCTCCTTGCTCCAAACCCAGAAGAAGCCAATCACTGCAGCTGTTTCTTCCCCAGGCAGCCAGGGCTTGGACATTAATCTCAGTGAATCACACACCCCGCCTCGGGGCCTTTGCTTATGACAGAGGAAGAGCAGCAGAGTGGCTGAGAGCAGGCTTGCCTGAATCCTGGCCCAGCCACGTACCAGCAATGTGATCTTGAAGAAATTATTTCACTGGAGTCAACAACATTCTACTATCACTCAAAGCAGCGCTGCGGCTTACCATAGCCCTCAGTGTCAGAAAAACCTGGCTTGAATTTCTGCACAGCTGCTTATAAGTCACTACGGGCAAGCACCCGGCTTCCCTCTATCCTTTGTTGGATCATCTGTAAAACTGGTATCCACCTCATTAGATTACTGTGAGGATCTAACAGCATAAGCTATGGCACGGCCCCTGCCAAATACCTGAACCATATAGAAAGCACTCAGTAACATTTAGCTATCATAATTCTAAGACTTATAATCATTAGGGTTCCCCCGATTCTGACTCTCTCAGCCCAAACATTAGGCTGCTAATGAAATGGTCAGGAATATCCTGTGGCCAAGTAAGGTATCCTAACTCCAGGCCCAGGGTACACATGTCACATAAGTCCCCTACTGTGATATACTCAAGGGACATTACATGCTTTAGGATCCACGTATGGGGCATGCACAGAATCTGGGGACATAAAATACAGCTCTTCAGTGGAATATACACTTTGAGTCTACAGAGATGGATTGGGCATCAGCCACAAGGTGGTTTCAAAAGTGCTACTCTGAGACTCACAACTCTCAAAATTTCCACCAAGAGACAAATGTTGAACTATGGTGAGCAGGGTGGATCTTAGGCAAAAAATGACTAAAAACCTATCGTACAAAGAAAATAGTTATCCATCGGAGCAGACTGAACTGTCGACGGCATGAGCTGTGCTGTCAAAACAAGGGGGAGGTCTGCCTGCATTTAGAAAAGAAAGGCAATGAAATGATGGAAGTAGCTAGCATCACCAAGCGCAGACCTTGCTAAAGTGCTTGGCATCCCCTGTTCCTTTAACAGAAGCTGGGAAACTTACCCATGTAACAGACAAGGACACTGGGGTTCAGAGATTAGGAAACGTGACCTACAGAAGAAAGCAGCAAAGCCAGAGGCAGAACTGCTTTGTAAATCGATGCCTGGTCTGAATGATGTTAAATTCAGTGCTTTCTTAGCCACCTTGCCCCCTGCATGAAGACATAAAAATACATGTCCTGGATCCCACGGAGGTCCACAAAGTCCTGCATGTTTCTCTCTGTGCAGATCATTCCTGATGTCTAACAGCCCCAAAAAGCATCCAAACCTTGGCTTACAACGCCCTGCAATGCTATGAGGGGATAGCCCCAGGGTCCCTTTAGAGGACAGACTGTGTCACACTGCCCCTCCTCTAGGGCCATTTCAATAAGATGAGCCAACTGATGTTCACACCTCAGCTGCAATGGTAACTTCAAACCACGGAGCAAACAAACCCCAAGGCTTCAGGTGTGGTAAACTCAGGGCGATTTTAGCAGTTTTACCTGGCCTGCATTCACCTAGAGATGACCTTTTTATTTTTGTTTTTTTGAGACGGAGTCTCGCCTGTTGCCAAGCTGGAGTGCAGTGGCGTGATCTCAGCTCACTGCAACCTCTGCCTCCCGGGTTCAAGTGATTCTCCTGCCTCAGCCCCCACCACTGAATAGCTGGGAATACAGGCGCGCACCACCATGACCGGCTAATTTTTGTATTTTTAGTAGAGACGGAGTTTCACCATGTTGGCCAGGAAGGTCTCAATCTGTTGACCTTGTGATCTGCCCACCTTGGCCTCCCAAAGTGCCGGGATTACAGGCGTGCACCACTCACCTGGCCGAGGTGAGCATTTATGAAGCATTTGCTTTTCCCTGACCCAGTGGCCCTGCAACACCCCAGGTGGCTGCTGTGACCCACTGGAGTGCTAGGGAAGAGGCACCTTCAGGCTGTACCATTGGAAGAATGAGCCCACAGGGCCACCTTTGCTTCTCCCAGGTGACCTTTTCTTCCCCGAGGCACAGCTGTTCTTTCCTCCAGGACATGCCCTACACTGGGCATCAGACACCCACAAGACAGCAACCAGGCTCAGGTCTAGATCTGTCCCCACGGGGTGTGCAAGTTCAGCCAGCAGAGCCCTCCTGCCTGGCCCAGCACTTGAGACATGGACTTACCCACAAGGGTTGGGGAAGATCTACAAGCTGCGAGTGACACTTCAAATCCAAGCGACCCTGGCCTTTTGGCATGCATGAAAGGGGAGATTTCCGCTCCAGTGGAGTTTTGTTTTCTTCTAACTGCAAGTTATTCTTAGCAGGGAAAAGGTTTGTAAATGGTATTAGCAAAGAAAGAAGAGAGAAACACACAAAGCTGCTGACGCCGCTGGGTAGGGGTGCAGGGGTCCATGTGCGTGGCCCCAGCTGCAAGAGGAAGCTGCGCCAGATTCCACTCCAGTCCCCCTAGGGAGCTGGGCCAGCTGCCCTTGAGTAAGAAAGGACACCTTTCAGGGAAGACAAGTGGGAAGGAGACAAAGTGTGCTGTGGCCTGGGAGTGCCCCTGGGCTAGCTCTTCCTGCTGCAGTCTCTCTGCCTCAGGGTCAAAGAAGTAAAATTATTTTAGTGCCCTCCTTCTCTGGCTAAGGCGCCAGGCCCAACCCTGGGGGAGGTGGGAGGGAGACACAGGAGAAAGCAAGAAATGCCTGTTCTGGAACCTTCCTCTGTGGAAGCTCAGAAGTTGCCTTACTATCTGGAGGCCCCTAATTGGAATTCCACCTACCGTCCGTCACCCTTCACTTGGTGCAGAAGCCGCTCCGCTTAGAAGCGGCACTTCTGTCCCGCACAGATGCTCCGGTGATCTTCAGCATGATGCACTGTTTTCTATGCCCACCTCTCCTCTCCGAGAGGAACAAATATTCGCTTCTGTGACACTGGCTCTAGAGGCAGCAGAAACGAGCAGGGCCTCCGAGCAAATGGGCATCCACTCGTCCCCTCCCCTTCCTGACCACCCCCCACAACCGCCCCCCCCCGCCCCACCCGCCCCACACTGGCCAGGGAACCCACCACTCCCGCTCTCAGATCTTGGGCGCAGAAACAAAACATGAAAACTAAGCTCACATGCTCCAAACTTGCCCAACTCAGACCATTTCCGAAGCCAAGGAGCTATGTGTCTGCCCCCTGCCCCCTTGTGCGCACTGTGCCTGCCAAGCACAGGCCGTGTGGGTGCACAGGACATTGCCAGGCTGGGACTCTTAACTCGGGGGTCAGAGTCAGCTGCCGGCTCTGGGGTGGCAGAGGGTATGAAGGCAGTCTAAACTGGGGTTTTATGAAGCACTTGACTTAAAATTATGAGAAGCCTGGTGGTCTACACAAAGGAAGACCACAGGTTTGCAAAGGTTGGGTGAGGGAGTGGAGGGGGAGGCCAAGTAGAAGCCACGCTGATAGAAATTATGTTCCCTGACCAGGGACGGTGGTTCCTGCCAGCAATCCCAGCACTTTGGGAGGACACGGTGGGCAGATCACTTGAGATT